ATCACCGGTATATTAAAGCATCAGTTACCAGTTGCAAAGTAGATATTTTCATTTAAATGAAATAGCAAACCTAACATAAAATCTAACATTTTCTATTATTTCTTTTGTGATTATGTTATGTTTGTAATTTCACTAATGATATAAAATGTAACGATTAAGGCATAACAAAGAAATAAATAAGAAATAAATAGCATATTCATTTTTTTGTTTCCATATTACCTGTACTTCTATTTTTAATTCTATCTGTAAGCAAATTTTAGAAATTGTTATTTAAATCTCGGTAAAATTGTCTAATAAACTTGAAGTGAAACTTTCTTAAGAAAAATTTTAAGAAAGATTATGTTATTTGTTATATCTCTAATTTCTAATTTTATATTATGTATCTTTGTAATTAAAATTAAACAATAAAAATTTGTTATTCAATTATATGTTTAATATTCGAAGAAAATTACATATGAATACGAATACTATATGAGATACGCATTCTATAAAGTAAGAAACATTTTGCAAACGTTCAACAATTCTGATAGTAATTGTATTTTGCAGTGAATGAAATAAAATTAATTTTATTTCATAGATAACAATGGCATTTCTCATAGATCGAACAATTCGAATCAACTGATTGATGCGATTCTCGTGCCAATTTTTACGCAATTTATAACAGCAGGTGAGCGTATTTCGCGAATAAAAGCATCCCTTGAACAATTTACGTTACGTAACTTTCTGACGAGTTTAATCTAATTTCCACGGTTCGCACTTCAACGCATCTTTTATTACTTCGAGCGTATAATCTTGGATGGCTTTTATCGTACGTTAATTTAGAAATTTACGAAAATTCCTTTATCCCTCCGCGGATATGTATACGTATGTACGTATACGTATTCGGACGTACACGTGCTGGCAAAGCCATAACTTTTCGCAATAAGCGACGTTACGTCGTTTGCCATAACAATGAAACTACGCGATCAGTGCACTGAATTAACTGTAACGATATGACGAAACTGGGAATAAGCGGCAGCTCGATAAAGATAAAACCGGAAGTTCTTAACGAACGTCGTAATAATGATACAGGATTTATGAGTTTGCTTTTGCATAGCTATGAATTTTCTACCTAATTCAGTCTAAACTAATTAAAAGTTTTTCATATATTTGATACTCATTTAGAAAGACTTTAATAAATAGAAAAAAATCAATTTTAATTATTCTTTAAAGTGACTACAATGATACTTGAGTAACCTATCTTTAAAAATATGTTTAAAAATATGTTATATATTATAAAATAAATATCATGTTTTAACTAGAAAATTAGAGAATATTGTATTCTCTTATATATGTTTCTCTTTTACAAATATAATTATAAACTGAATTTATAAACTGAAACACATATTACTAATACGAAAAATTATTATTAAATTTCATTATTTGTCTATGAAATGTCTTAAAAGGTTCACTATAATAGTATAAATTATATATTATTGCAAGAAACATTCTTTTCTTGGATCTGAAGTACACTTTGGAAATGGTACGCTATTTTATATATAGAAAGTTTTGAGGTATTTCCTTTGTATAAAAGTTAATTAGCTTTAATTTTTAATAATTACATTGTTTAATATCTTTAATATCGTAATATAATTAAATTGAGAATATCAGAATAATTTTTAAATCAAATGTAAGCTACGTATAGAAATTATACAGTTAAAAGTTTCTAAATGAAATGTAACGATTGAGATTATAATCTCAAAAGTTTATTACCTAAAAGATTTGTTACATGTCTTCGAAGTCTGCAATCCTTTTTCGAGGTTTGCAACAATAATTTCGTTGGCTTTCGCGCAATTAAGAAACTGATTTCGATGTCGCCCCGCACGTTCGTTATTACAGGATTTGTACTTGGTAAAAGTTATACTTGAATTACGTGAAATGATTCCTAAAGACATGCGAACCCACGGCTGTCTCTGACAACGTTGTTATCGGTAACAATTCCAATTTACCAGTGCCATTTGGCCTGCTCGATATCGATCGAACGACCCCTCGTTCCTCGTTCCTCCCTCGTTCTCCTTAGAAGTCGTTTTAAATTGAAAAACCGGAGTGCGCGGGCCCAAAAGACAAAGAGGCGAGTGAGTGCCGCGGTACCGCCGATTTGTGGATCCGTCTTTCCATTAGCGAAATAGCATTTTCTCCTTCAGTCGGTCGGTCGGTCGGTCGGTCGGTCGGTCGATCGGTCGGTCAGTCAGTGGGTCAATCACCATCTTTAGAACATTCTTCTCGCACTCGTCTATTTATTTTGCAATTGAACGGTGTTCAAATATCAAATGCAAAAACGCAAAACCGGACAATTTGTTTTCAATCGATACAAAGTTATATCGTCTTTCTCAGTATTTTACTTTATAATAATTTTCTATTTAAAATATATAAAGATTCTTATAAAAATCTATAAAAGAAATTTGTTATTGCCAATTCTTAGGTGAAATTGTGCAACATAATGAATAAATTGAATGAATCAGATCTTATAAAAGAAATTATATAACCTAACTAAAACATAGAAATCAATACCCTAAAACAGATAATTTGCAATTATTTCTAATCTGTTAATCTGTATATTAAAATAATTTTTAAAAATTAAAATTCAAAAAAATTAATAAACCATTAAATTTTTTATTTTGTAGTATATAATGATAATTGTTGCGTACATACACTATATTACATAAATTACTGTTCTTATCGCGTATGTAACGTATATATGTGGGAAGTCACCCCACATATTATTTTCGATACGATTTCGGTTTAAGGACTTCGATTTGACTCAGCCTCTCATTGAGATTCACATGGAATTCCGCGATACAAAGGAGCTCGAAAAACATAATAAGTAGTGAAATTCTTTTTCGATTCTTGAAAAATCGATTATTCTGAACAATAATCGATTTTTAATCGATTTTTTTAAAATCTTGATTCTTACTGAATCAATTCCCTTCTTTAAAGAATCGATTCTTTGATTCTCATTTTGTATTATTAAATAAGATTTTTTAATTGCTTTGAAATTTTTCTAATTTTTCCAATTTCTTTGCGTTATGACATAACCAAATTTTCCTCGTTTTTCCAAGTACAAAGTAGCAGCTTTAAGGGTGCGTTTTCATCTGACATTATGACGCTGGATTTTAGGATCAAATTAGATCACATGATCAAAATTAAACAGAATAGTAAAATCCGAATGGTCATTTTTAATTACGTGATCTAAGTTTGACGCTAAAATTTAGAGCGTCAGGTCAGTCTAAGAGAATCGATTATTAAGAATCGATTTTTTTTGTAATCGATTAATCTAAAATCGATTCGGTGAAAAAGAAAAAAATCGAATGTCAGAATCGATTCTTTCAAATTTTCGCATCATTAATAGTAAGTCGTCCTCGCATTGCTCTTTGTATTTATACGCAAACTTGGGAGCTGTGATTGGTATCGCACCAATCAGGGATGGTTTCAAATCGCGTGCCATCCTCGTCGCACCGTCTCCGAATCGACGAGCGCGGTACGCTAACATGTTTTCGCTCTTTTATCTCGCGACCGAAGTCTTGTTTGGCGGTAACATTGATATTGCCGCATTGGTTCGTCGCAACAATGATAATAAAATAGGTAAAAGGATAGGTTTTAGATAATTTGATTTTTTTATGCTATTAATATTGTTATTATTGTGAAAGAACATGTTTGAGATAGTTTTCCTCACTAGTAACTCAGGCACACGATAACTTTCTGTATTGCGTTTAATATTTTCGTTATTAAATATAGAATTTTTATATTTTATATTTTTAATTTTTCAAAAATGATGTCTTATACTATGTACCGTTGATACAACAGCGAGCAGTCTTGTGAATAGTTGTCTTGTGAATAGTTGTAATTCACACATGTTTCCCGTGTTTCAACTCAATTTTTTATATGTACTCGTCATGTGATGTAATTTTAATTGGCATCATCGACTTCCTTGTCTCAAAAACTATTAGAAATGATGTCTATTTTATTTTTCTCGAACACAGCAAAAATTGATCTTTTAGTAACATTCTTCTTTGTAGATTTTTACTTAATTTGGATTTCGTAATTCTCTCGTAGTTCTCTATTAAAATCTGATTATAATAATAATAATTGCAATTGTGGCTATAACAATATGAGTTGTCAATATATAACGCTATTATAAAGCTGAACAGATGTACTGTTCAAAGGATTAATTAAATGCTATTACAACGACCGAGGACAAAAGTAGTATGAATTTTACATTATTAATTATGCAGACATAATATTACATAAATTTATAAAAGGTATACTATTTAATTATGGAAAATACGCGAACTAAATTTTTTTATTTTAGATAACCAAATAACTATGTATTTTGTTTTTACAGAATAATTCTCTCAAAATTTTTTATTATGTTTGTATAATGAAAGTCTTTGATTACATAAGTTGCAAATAAATATTTTTTTTTAAACTATAACAACAACAGCTGTTTTCTTGTGCATTTCTATAATATTTATAAAATTAATCAATTTTATAATCTAATTTTACATTTCACGAAGTTTTTTTGTAAGGCAAAGTTTAAAATAAGCAATAAATAATGATTTTCTCATAATGTGTTCATATAATTTAATTTAACAAAAGCTTTTTGTTTTAAGTTATTTCTAACTCAAAAAATATGTGTCGAATTTAATATTAAATTCTATTACTTAATCATTAACTACAAAGCTCACTATATTTACAAAAAAGAAATCAATTGTAGATTAATTAAAATTTTTCATTTATATATGTATACATAAATGTATACAGACATGAATACGAATACTAAGTACGGATATAAATTTTTCGCTACATTTTACACTATACTTTGTACTATATTTTTCAGCTTAATTAAAAATCGTGTTGAAAGTAAATAGTATTAGCAACAGACTAACTAAATCTCCTTAGCTCCTCGAAAACTTTTGCTTATTGACATAAATGCAAGAATATTTTTTTTAAATTGTACTTACCTAACTGCTCTTAATCTGGTAAAGATGCTCGAAAGCCCTCATTTTGCCGCGAGAAATCCGAGAACGAAGTTAGAGTTGTTTGTTCGTGTATTCACATTACACATCTATGGACGCACTAAAAGTTCCTAAATAATTAAAAATCACCGAGTGGAAAAAGTCGTTTTTCTCGCACCACTTAATCCTGAAACACACCCGCACGACTTCTGATTTAGTTTCTCGCTGTTGCTACTCCACTTCGCGATTACATGATCGATGTGTAGGCCTTTGACGAATTGATACCGTCCTGATTAAAACCAGTTAAAATCAAAGCAAAGAGAGGATTACGAACGCTTGTAAAATTATAACGCCGAGATTAACGAGTACTCGCATTCCGATTGGCCCCGGTTCCCTTTCTCGATTCGAGCGAGATCACGTTTTCACGTTTCCATCTGCGCACAATAGCAAGATTTAATTGTAACTGTCGTGCGATTCTCATTTCACACCTTTCGCAAGTTAATTTCACGAGGTCTCAATATCGCAATATACCGCGCACTCAGCCTTTTATCATCACTGATTTCTCCAATAGAATCGCGCCCACCACTTTCGTCTACTTTCGTCCGATTTTCGTGCACCTCTGTACGTCGATCACATCGATTTTCACATCCCTCGAGGGACTTCCATTTAAAATGATTCCCCGATTCTATTTCTACGATAGAGAAACACCCGCTCCGAGACCGTGCGCGCCGAGAATCGGGCGGTGACTGAAAGCGTCGCGCGGTCTCGCGCCCTGCATGTCTGTCCTACTCCACCTGGCTCTCACTCCCTCCCTCGTGCTTTCCTCCCTCGCTTCGGCGAGACTCCGCTCTCTTCACGGCGCGCATTCTCTACTTGTCTCGCTCGCTCTTACGGGATAAGGAAGAATGTTCCTCGCACACAGCTTCCCTCTATCCGCTATTTCATTCCCGCGCAGGTTCAATCTTCCTCGCTTTTCCTTTCTCCCTCTTTCGTTCTCCCTCACTTCTTCATCATTTTATCGTCCTCGTCTTGTACGCACGTCGTTTCGCTCCGTTTCATCTACGCGAAATAACTCCGTCCTCGTCCCCGTCTTCGTCTCCCTTACTCACCCGGCATCCACACGCACATATCCACTCTCTTGCTCTCATACTCTTGCTTCATCCCTTTGCGTCCGGTGCACGCGCGAGCATCCAACGCAAAGTGCCACGCCTACCCTTTCTATGTACGTGCCATTGATGCAAGAGGGAAACTTAGCTTAGTCCCGAGTTTCTGCGACGATCCGGCTTTTTCGTTCAAAGTAAGTTTCGGCGAATTACAACCTTGATTAAGCCCAGACGTTGTCAAAAAACTTATTTGACATATTATTGTAGATAACTCTAAACAAAAAAACTTATAAATTTTAGTAAACATTATAATTATTAATGGATTGTTAATAAAAAAATAAAGAAATGATACGGAAGTTGAAAGCTCAAGATTAAAATCTAAAGACTAAGAGTTAGAAGTTGAGAATTGAGAGTTTATAACTTATAAGTTTAGAATTGTATTGCACAATATTCAGAATTCACTGAGAAATTCACAATCGAGATTACATCTAAATTTTAGATTAGTAATAAGCGTATGCTAATTACTATTGTTCCAAATTGTACTTTCTGAGATATTTCTTTATGTCTATGCAAGTTAAGATTCTTTTTTCAATCTTAATGTAATTTGTAAAAACAATATAACATTTTAGTTTCTTTAAAAAGTTTTAAAAAATAATTTATTATAAAAAAATTTTGTTACTGCCATATTTATTTAAATATATAGAAATTTTAAAACAAACTCATTGTCAGATTATTTTACTTTTTATAATAATTTGTTAAGGAATTC